TGGACCAAAGTAACCCGTGGGGGGCGAAGCCCCCCACACCCCCCTCATAACACCAATCATGCATTCATAATACTACCTGATTAATCAATAATTATTAATATTTGAAAAATAAATATATAATACAGGTAAATACGTTTTTTATTTTCATTTAAATATTATACTAAAGAGACATAGCAAAATTATTTATTATTTTATCTTTATAAATTTTATTGCTTAGATCTCTCTCAATATTAATAACTGACAAATCTGTAAATTTTGACTGTTCCATGCTTGTCCTAAGCCAATTCTTTATTCGGCCCATAGATGAAAAACACCTTTCACAAGTAGCTGAGCTTATAGGAATAGCTAATCCTACTTGAATAAGTTTAAACAAGTTTGGAAAAACATCTTCAGTCACCACTTTCTTTATTCCAAGTATATCAAAATTTTGTAAACAATTTTTTGTCAGCAACATTTCTGCTTTCAATGATGTTAAATCAATATTCACAACATCCTGAAATTATATTATCCTCACATGATTATTTTATTTACAAAATTAACCTACATTACATTAATCACAACAATATAATATATACATGGTTGTTAGGTACCTATTTATAATTATTATGAATTCAATTAATGAGTTATTATTATTTAGTTTATAAATAATTTACTAGTTACAAACCTTGTAATGATTGATGAAATATGAACCTTTTTCAAAATCCATTTTCATAAACTGGTCTAATGAGTTAGCTAAAACTAAACTTTCATCCGAAAAACGGTATTTTATATTATTATTTATTATTATTATTATTATTATTATTATTATATAAGTCAAATCTTAGAAATTAATTTATCCTGTTGTCTATGACATAATACGTGTATAACCAATAACAATTAAATGATGCTGTTGAAAATTTGGGGGTGCTAAGCATCCCCAAGCACCCCCCAAATTGCGCCTATGGGCATTACTTATGATAATTTATTGTTTGATCTTATAATATATTATTTATAAATTATTTTTTTATATTTATTACTAAATAAACTGAAACAACACTAGTATAATTTATTTATGATACAAATTTTGAATATAATTTAAGAAATAATGATGGCCTAGAAACAAATACGATGAAATTATTTAAAGTCTAAACATCCAGGCTTCATTAACAATGTAAAATAACAATTGGTAAAAATACATGCAATTATTATTTTAGAGAATTATTCTGAACACTTTCAGTTTTACTTATAAAAAATTGAAATTCAATTAATGTGTATGTATATTATTAAATGTTATTAATTTATTTTTTTTTACATTAGAGTGTTACACACTTACACCCCGTGGTTCCGCCTATGGTTACAAACAAAAATTGCTTTTTAAATTACTTTATACTTTAAACTAAATATAAGTATTAGTATAATCTGTGTGTAACTATAAAAAAAATTGTAAAAACTTTTTTTGTGAAGTATAAAATTATAAAGTTTTATCTATTGGTTCTAATCAAAGTATTTACATTTAAATCTATCAAAAATAGTGTTGGATAATTTTTATAAATGTAATAAACCATTCCAATAGGAGCTCGGTTAAGGGGATTGGAAGCGGCGATTTTCTGTCTTTATCTAACACACGTGGAACATAGGATTATAGACGTGTTCTATGTCCAACGTACCGATTAATCTAATGAAGCGATAAGAATTCTGAAAACAGATTTGAATTTGTCGTCAAGTCTACTTGAGATCGACTTTCCCACATTTTTGATATTGTCCCACCAAAATCATAAAAATGATATATTATAAAAAGTACTTAAAAAATTTACAAATTTCAACTTTTGGAGAAGTTTAAATCAAAAAATCAAAAATGTGGGAAAGTCGATCTCAAGTAGACTTGACGACAAATTCAAATCTGTTTTCAGAATTCTTATCGCTTCATTAGATTAATCGGTACGTTGGACATAGAACACGTCTATAATCCTATGTTCCACGTGTGTTAGATAAAGACAGAAAATCGTCGCTTCCAATCCCCTTAACCTAGCACTTATAATATTTTAATTTTTTCAAAAATATTCTACGGATGTCAGTTATTTTTTAGGTAAAACTAATAAGAAAATGAAAAAAAGAATTTCTTCAAAGTATTTAGTTATCACTATTATCTTTAAATTGATTGACTTAAAAGTTAACATTCAAGGGCTACTGCCTACTTGAAACTTTTGAAAAAGTGTTCACAAGTACCTAATCAACAAAAAAATATTTGAAAAAGTGGGTAAGTGGATGTCCCTCTGCTGTACAGTAAGTTACGCAAGTGGTTAATGGATGGTGTTAAATTTGAATTTAATGATATAATATCGTTGTATAAGAAAAACGATTCTGAGCGAAAACAGTCAGTCAGCCTATGATATTAGTATAGGCGTATTACTAAATATATTTGATGATATTATTGTGAATAAAGTAATTTATATATTAACCTATTTACGTTGAACCTTGTTTTAAATTTTCAATCCTTAGCTATAAAAGTTGAACATTTTATACATTTTTAACTACAAAACTATTTTAAATTTTAAATTCGATAAATTTTGTCAATATTCGAACTTATGCCTATGTATTTTAATATTTTTCAACTGCTATTGTAACAATATATCAAGAGCCTTTCATTAAACTATCATGCTTTTTTACCCAACAAATACAATTTTATTGATACTTTTTTTATTAAATGAATATTTACAATCTGTATACATAAAATAATACAATAAGTAAATTATGAAAGCTTAAACGAAAAAAAAACTAAAAGAACATGAAGGCTTGAGAGAAGGGGGCGCCCATTGACACCACTTCAAAAAGTCATTATACTCATCAGAATGTTAATTTAGTTTAGTAGATCTCTGGGCCAACGTCGTTTTAATCGACGTAGTGGATTTATAGGGTTAGTTAAAGAGCGGAGATTGGAGATAAGTGGATTTTGATGGTTAATTATGGCTGTGTGTAGTTTTTTGTAGGATTGAGAGGCTAATTCAGGAAGAGTTAGAATTTTCAGGTCATTATGGAGGGACTGATTGCTGACGAACCAACGAACACCTGTGATGACGCGTAAGCTTATAGACTGGAAGGATTGGAATATGTTAATATTTGACTTTTTAGCTGCTCCCCAAATTTGGATGCCGTAAGTCATGGCTGGTCTTATAACTTGTTTAAATATTAGAATTTTGGTTCTAAGTGGAATTTTGGAGCGTAATAGATTTCTAAGAGAATGAAGACGTAAATTTAAAGATTTACCTACGTTTAATTTTTATATGGTTTGACCAATTTAGTTTTTTGTCAAGGTGGATGCCTAGGTATTTAACATTGTCTTGTTGAGGGATTATATTGTTGTTGATGGATAGGGGATGACCGTTAATAGAGCGTAGAGTGAAGGTTATGTGGCTAGATTTGGATTCGTTAATTTTTATTCTCCAGAGGCGGGACCAGCTTTGGAGTTGTATCAGATGATCCTGGAGTCGTTTGGAGGACTGATCGGGGTCAGAGTGGGAGGAGATTATAGCATTGTCATCAGCGAATGTGGCAATAAAAGTGTCGTTAGAGTGAGGTATATCCGAGGTGAAGATGTTATAGAGAGATTGATACTCATAGAAAAAAAAACTAAAAAATTTAAAACTGACAATGTCCGTAAACAGCTCAAAAATTGTCAAAATATTATAAAATTTTGATGTGTATAGAAAATGAAAATATAAACATTCAGTAAAATGTTCATGTATCTACAGTTATCCGTTTTTAAATAACAATAAAATAACAAAACCGCTACATGAGAAAACGAGTGAATATCCAACATTTTAAAAATATGAATTTCAAATGCTCATATAAATTTGATTTGCTTGTAGATATTTTTTTTTGATTATGGTAGACAAACTTATGAGGAATCTTGTTTTAAATTTTCAAATCTTAGATTTAAAAATGAAAAAATGTTATGAACTCTCAACTCAAAATAATTTGTTAATTTTCGTGATTTTTCCGTATTTTGTCAATATTTGAACTTTAAATGCTTATAAATAAAAACTTTGATTAAGGATTTTTAATATTTTTCAAATGTCATTGTAACAATATAGTAGGACTGTAGGAGCCTTATATTAAATGTGGAAATTTGAGTGAAAATTCCCGTTTTTCCTTAATTTGTATATTGTTTTGCCCGGAATTTTTGAAAACTATTGGCAATTTTAAAATTTGACCTCCCGAACGCACCAACTAGATTCCCTTTCCCATCGAACAAGATACTGTTGAAGAAAATCAAAGCAGGTTTACTGCCCCAAACTGTGAGACCGACACAAATAAAAAAATAAATTAATAAAAAAAAAAATAATAAAAAACACACATCATTGTAAAATCAATACATTCATCGTTCCCCTCAGAATCTAAAAGTATAGGTACTGAATAAAACCAATATAGGTATACTTTACAAGAATTTATTTAAAATGCTTTGGTTCGATTATTAGTGTTCAATAATACTATGTAAGTGATGGGTTTTGATTATGATTTACTATTATCCTAATAAGTAATAACCTAGTAACCTTATAAATAATAAATAACACCTTTATCAGTTTCTTAACGAAGTAATAACAACCAAACACTATAAAATATTAATTAAGGTATGAAGTGTTTGATAAGTAGTTATATATTGTGATTACCGTCTCTCGTGTATTAAAATATCTATTGCATGTACAAATTATATCAAACATATTGTACAGTAACATACCTATTATACCTGTAATCGGTATTCGACTGTATAGATCACGTGTATTGTTCGTTAGTCATCAGTTTGTACTTTATTACCTATTTTACTACAATCACGGATTCGACTTATTACACTTTCAGCAATACATTTCCTAATCAATAGGACAAGCGCGATGTATTATGTTTAATAATAAATTTACTATAAGACGCCTGTAAATCATATAATATACGCATCTTACATACGTGGATTAATTGTATTTTTTTACATTTTTTATAAGCTTGCCTACCCGAATTAAACCACCGAAAATATGAATAGTTCGGTTCGCATTGCCAATTTATTTCTCACAAGCTTTAGTCATCGAACAACAGCACGTCGGTTTCTGTCGCACTATCCAATCGACGATGTTTTGTTTAACCTCAACGATGAACAAATTCAGGTAAGTAGAAAATATTTATTTTTAATCAGTCGACATTCCTGTAGGCATAGAATAATAAATGCAGACTGCATTTGCTATTCGTGCTAATCTGATAATGTCGCAACTCAGAAATCAGAGGTGTATTCAACAAAATAATTAACAACCATACCTAATAAAAAAGGTGCTTACAACTGTTGCCTGTTATTTTAAACTTTAAGTCTCAGTAATTAGAGATTTTAACACATCTACATTTTAGATTCCTATGGGAATAATTAAATTCCTAACCTAACCTAAATTCCGTGCTTGAATTGGACGAATAATAAAAGAGGGATGCAGTTGATGCAAAGATATACAAAAATGTCGTACCTACCTATCCGAAGATTTCAATTTCTTATTGACTTATTTAAAAAAAATAATAAGGGATACTCTGTCATCCGACGTCATTCTCCAAATCAGGCACAGCCTAAAGAAATAAAGAATATAGGTATATTTAATTCTCTGAGGACTTCATAAAATGTTGAATTTATTATAATAGTTTATCAATAACCATAACAAATTAAATTGTCATGTCAAAATAACTAAATCCCTGAAAAGTAATATTACCTATAATACCTACCAAGGTATATGTACCTACATATAAAAAAAGGAATATTTACTTAATTAATTAAAATAAAATTCTATAGACAATACAAATTGATTATAATTAATAAATAGTATTTATAATTAATGATGATACCTTTAATGGCTTCAACATACTATACATTTTAAAATTATAATAACATTTACAAAATAATGAGGTAAATCCAAGTTTATTATAGTTTAAAATAATTTATACGTGATTTTATTGTAAAAATAATAATTTATAGGTTATTAACAATTATTTATTGCATTAAAATACCTATTAAGAACAGTGTACATAGATATTAAATTGATTATTGATTATTGATTAGTGATTAGGTCAGGTGCCTAGGTACTGCTAATATTACGAGCTCGTATTGTTGACATTATGTAGAGACTAGAGATCAATATTTATCATAAAATAAATTATGAATCTCATAATATTCATCAATGAACCTATTGGCTATTGGAATTTACAAAAACATGAAAAATACCTATAAGATAATTAATAAATATATGAATAGACTATAGACATAATGTGAAATGCAATTTGCAAATTATAAGGAGGTGCATTGTACATGCTACATAGGCAGAAGAGACTATCATATTGAGATATATTATTATATTAATATAATAGAGGTATATAAGTATAACTATATGGAATAAAGATACAAGATTGTTGGCATTCAATTTTAATTAATTTTGGTGATTTTCAGTTACGGAAAACCGTTTTTGATTATGCGCAGAGAGAAATAGCACCAAAAGCGGCTGAAATAGACAAGACAAACACGTTCAATGACCTAAGGGTAATTTATTGCTATTTTTTTTTTTTTTTTTTTTTTTTTATTGAACAAACATAATATATTTACAATCTGTATTTACAAGTGATACAATAAGTAAATGGGATGATTTTTGGTAAACAGGAGGGGGAAGTCACCCAGTGGCGGCACCCCGTAAATGTATTGCTATTTACATGATATTATTAGTATTAAAGTATAATATTAGCTATATCCAGGGTTGTGCAGTATCTTAGATACAATTGTATCTTGTATCTTATTGTATCGCGATACATTTTTAGTCAATGTATCGAGTATTTCATAAAATAATTTATGATGCGATACAAGATACAAGTCTGATTTAGGTTGTTGGAAATTATTTTTCAACCCAGTACCGATAAATCATAAAATATATAGTTATATAAGTATGTGTCATTGACACACGCACATTGTATTGGACTTTACGTCTGTACCTTATTAGAGTCGGATCCCAAACGGCTCCCGTGAAAAAGGTCTAACGAACAGGTAAATTCCGAAACGGCTCCCGTCCAAAAAAAATTCCCAAATCTGTATACTATGTTCGTTCGAAATCCTTACCAAAATTATCAAAATCAACAGAAGAAGCTCAAGATAGTTTAGACAAAATTAATATTACAACTTCGGAAAATTCAATACTACACACCCAAATATTTTTAAGGTTATTGACATACTAATCAATATACAATCTGAAACTTAAATTAAAGCTCGAAGTTATTTTAATGCATCAAGATCGAAAAACAAGCAAGAGTTCGTCGAAAAAATCATTTGCGAGTTTTCGTCCAATAAAATATCACGCCTAGACTATATAAAAAAATTGTGCTTAACAAATTTACCCGATATATGATTTTTTTAATATTTTTATTTATACATTTTTTAAATATTTTTTTAACGTTAAAAATTTAAAATTTAATATTATTATACTATAGCGTACCTTTCGCGATAAAATAAGTAATGAACACCATACAATTAGTAGATTAGATTTTGACACAAACCCCGCCGACTACACTACACAGGTGTTCTATGAGTCACTATGTGACGAATTTTTATTTTTATATTTGTTATCCTAATTAGGTACTTAATGAAGTGGCCATCCCCACTGTACTACTAGTATATGTTTCACTGTTTATTAATTACTTATTTGAAATCTTAAAAGTATTTGAAATATTTTCTGAATGGATGTTTTATGTGGGCATTATTATTATGTATAATATACTAACTATTAAGTAAAAACATTTTAAATTTGGTAATTTATTCAATAAAATTTTAAAAAAAATTAAAATTAAGGATGGTAGGTAATAGATATAATTATTTAATACTTTGACTTTTATTGAAGGATATCTATTGTTATTAAACAAAAACAAATGTAGGCAGTATCTAATGTTCTAATACCATACATATTAGGTATCGTATTATCGTCTTACTATTGTTATTACCGAAAATATATATAATATTATAATAATATAGGAACCGAAGTTCAAATTCAGGACTCAGGTCTTGCGAACAAAATAGCTCAAATGAAATTATTTTTCCAGATTAATAAAAGCGGACAACACCTACTTCCTAAACAAAGATTTAATTTTTTATTTAATTGTAATTTTATTAAAAACCATTAAAACTATGTACCTATATATAATATATTTGTGTAAAAGATTTTTTTGAGGGGCTAATTTAGGCTGGTAGGTGAGAAAAATTTCGAATAAGAAACAAGATCCTGTAAAATTTAGGAATTAGCCATTAGGTAATTCAGTAATTTTATATAATAAGTTTAAATGTTTAATATAGTCTATAAGTACCTCAGTGGTGTAGCCAGGATTTTTTTTTGGGGGGAGGGGGCTGATCAACTTTTACACTTTTATACATTAAATACGCACTACCACAGATAAATAACTGAAAAGGGTTTATACTTATAGTACATTTTTAAATATTTATAAACAATTTAAGACTTTTTGAGTGACCATCATAGACCATTAAAATAATTTTTTTATTTTCTTAACATTTCGGGGTGGGGGGCTGCAGCCCCCTCAGCCCCTCCTCTTGCTAAACCCCTGAAGTACCTAACTACCTAATTCATATACAAATAAAAAAAAATAATAATAATAATGACAAGATAATTTGTATGTTGCCAAATTGTTAACAGAAATGCTGGCTGGAACTGGGATCACTAGGTCTCCTGGGCATTACCATTCCAACAGAATACGAAGGTACAGGAGGCAGCTATACTGACCATGTCATTGCCATGGAAGAGATTTCTAGAGCCAGTGGATCTGTGGGCCTGAGTTACGCGGCCAACACTAACCTGTGCATGAACCAAATTCGATTGAATGGTACGCATGAACAAAAGGCCAAATATTTACCACGGGTTTGTATTACCATTATACATTTATAAATATATTTTTTAAACTTTAATCAAGAATTTGAGCACAAATGCATTAATAATATAATACTATTGACCATAAAATATAGTTTAATATACGTACCTATATAACTACGCTCCGTGTTATTTGAATTATAGTTTATAAATTTAAACAATATTTTTTGGTTTGGCTTACAGTTATGCAAAGGTGAAGCTGTTGGAGCGCTGGCAATGTCTGAACACGGTTCTGGTTCTGATGTAGTTTCTATGAAGTTAAAAGCAGAACGAAAAGGATCCCATTATATTCTAAATGGTAGTAAATTTTGGATCACGAATGGACCAGACGCCGATGTGTTAGTGGTACCTATACATTTTCATTCGGTTATGATAAAAATTAATATGAAAATATTATTGTATATTAAATTCCCAACTGGATTAAAAAAAAAAAAATTTAAACGTATAATAATATTAATTGTACATGACGTGCAAATGCAAAACGGTTTATAATAATAATGATTATTAATTACAGTTAAAAATTATATTTTTCTATAGGTGTATGCTAGAACGAATCCAGACGCTAAAAAACAGCATGGTATTACTGCATTTATAATTGAGAAAACATTTGAAGGGTTCACTACTGGCCAAAAACTTGATAAACTTGGCATGAGAGGTTCTAACACTTGTGAACTTATTTTCCAAGATTGCAAAGTACCTGGTAAGTATAACTTATATAATATAAGTTATAAATCATGTAATAATTTATACAATTTATAATGCACTGCTGTTACTCGAATATTGTTGTAATTTTGAAAAGTATTACAAATTTACAATAATATTGGTTATCTATTACAAGTTGAAAAAGTCTTAAGAGGACGCAATACCCGTATGTGTTGTCTCCTTCTTACAAGTGCGTAACATAGCAAATTATACGCAGAGCAGAACACGTGGAGCTCCGTTAGCTTAAAAATTATAGTAAATTGATTTATAATTTGCTATGTTATGCACTTGTAACTTGTAAGACGAAGATAACACATGCCCGTATCACATCCTCTTAAAGTGAATTTTAATACTTAATACTAAATCGAAGTGTTGAGTTATGTAAAATTAATTTTGTGATTGTAAGTAAGAGTTATACAATGTGTCGTAAGAGATTCAAAATCACGCATAACCGGCTAACCACTAAGTTACTAACTCTATATACCTAAGCATACTTTTATGTATATGTACATATAACTATATTACCTTTATAGGTAACAAATAATAATATTGTAATTAAATAATATAAAATTCTAATTTCTCAGTAAAAGACAGCCTAAATGTCCGCATGATGCGGACGATGCGGTATAATATACGCTAGTAAATATTTTGCTATAAATAGGACGAATACGAACAAATGGTGATAAGTCATAAATACAGTAAAATAAATAAATACATAAACACAATTCAGAGTCTACATCATAGATATAAATATATAATTAAAATAAATAAATTAGTAAATACAATTAATACAATTTGAAAGGAAATAACTTTATAGTAACATAATTGTAAAAGTTGGTAGATATGTTGATTATTTTTAGAATTATATTACCCTTGACAAGAATCTTGCCACTTCGAACAGGAAGGTGGTCAACTTTGGCAGTTCAGTAGATGTTCCATGTCTTGTTGTACACCACACTTACATCTTTTGGAGTTTTCTTATGGGATACCCAATTTCTTTAGGTTGTATTTAGATCTGCCTACTCCTACTCTGAGAGATATCCAGGTTGGCCAGTCTAATTCGTGTCCTGCTGGCAGGGATTCCATTGGTTTAATCTCCAGTTTCCTGCTGTCTTTGGATAAAGCGAGTTTCCACATTTATCTTCATATTTTGTATCTATATTAGTTAAATGTATACTATTTTGGTTTTATCCTGTATATTATAACACACATATTATACTTATGTCTTATTGCCTATACCGTTTATGGTTAGTTAAAGCGTATTATACGTACAATTAACCTATCCTCCTTAATGGTCATTAGTCTCCGTCTTATAAAGTTACAAAGATAAAACATAGGTACCTATCAAATTTGAGTTCAGCAGAACCAATTGTATGTTGTTAACTTAAATATTAGAGTAAATTAACCTATATTAACAAACTTAAAGATAGAAACTTTATCTGTGTTCTTATTATGGTTTTTTACGATATTTTAATTGTTTAGTGAGTTATGATTAGGAATGTAAAATATTGAAACACGAAAACATATATTAGCATAATTCGCATGTTGAATTCTATAAAACATAATTGTTTAAGTATTATTTTATGTTTATTTCAGTTGAAAATGTATTAGGCGAGGAAAATAAAGGAGTATACGTTTTAATGTCCGGACTTGACTTGGAAAGGATGGTACTTTCTGGTGGGCCTGTTGGGTATGTTGAATTAAAATGTATAATCTAAAATATATTATCAATGCGATTAGATCATTAATCGCTATTATTCAGTAGTTATTTTTGTAATGTCTACATTTTAGATTAATGCAAGCGTGTGCAGACCTGACATTTGATTACGTACATTCTAGAAAACAGTTCAACACTAAAATTGGAGAGTTTCAATTAATTCAGGTACGCCTCTAATTAATTTTAAAGATTAAAATAGCCTAAAATTATTACGTACTACGTAGGTACATTGTTTATAATAGGTTATGTATAATAGGTATTAGGTATTACCGTATAGGTAATGTATAATATCAGATAAATAATTTAATATCTATAGATTTTACCGGATAATTACAATGGAATTGTGAAATGTTTGGCATTTGGTTATCTTTAAATTTGTTGGATTTTAATTTATTGAAACAAAAAACGAATCGTTTATATAATGCACTTTGCACGACTTTCTAAGCCTACTGCAGTTCCTATACCTACTACTGCATATAATAGCTCTATATACTATATAGTATATTATAACATGTAATATTATATACTATTATGGTATTACTATATAGATCGAATAGAATATATTATAAAATAGGTACCTACATCTAAAAATATTATTTACTCAACTCATTATTCATATTTTGCTTTTACACGTTTAGGCTAAAATAGCTGATATGTACACAATATTGAGTGCCACTAGGAATTATCTATACAACATAAGTAGAGCCTGCGATAAAGGCCACGTGTGCAGCAAAGACTGTGCCGGAGTGATACTTTTTTCTGCTGAAAACTCTGTTAAAATGGCATTGGACACAATACAATGTCTAGGTAAGTATAGTACCTTTACCTTTTTTACGGCTTTACCTTCACAGGGTTGATTCGTTAAGCATATATTTTTCCACTGACATATAATAGGTGGAAATGGATTTATAAACGATTACGCGTCAGGCAGATTACTGAGAGATGCCAAGTTGTATGAAATTGGTGCAGGGACCAGTGAAATCAGAAGACTAATTATTGGCAGATCGTTAAACAAAGAATACTCTTAAAACGGTTGTGTTATGTTTTCAATAATATATAGGTACCTATAAACAGTTGGTCCTATCGTCGATCACGTTATAATGATTTTTGTGTATAATATTATTATAATATAGGTTACCTACTTCTATTCTCAAAATACACTGTGGTCTGTGTACCAGTCACCAGTGTACCTACTACGCAGTGCAAATATTATGTTGTATATTTGTGTGATTTTGATTTTATTGTTTAAATATTTTGAAATTATACGATATTATAACTGAATATAATATACGCTATTTGTAGGTATACCTATGACCTATACCTAATATATACTGTATTTACTTGGCTACCTACACGGTTACACTACTTACACATAAGACATAACACTTTATATATTATACTTTATTATTATTGTGGGTATAAATTATACCGTATAAATGTATAATACCTACATATATTATTAATATTTGATTGCACATTTGCAGTAAGTACCTACGTCTTATTTTCACATTATTAAATTATTTACCCACCTAGTTTTGGATCTCTTTAACTAAAACACGAGAATATAAAACATATATATTCATTCATTATTTTAGTTATGCGATTCATTCATGTCTCAGTTACCTTAACATATATTTAGATAACTTTAATTAAATCTTAAAAACGAATTTATTTTACATGCAAACTAACTAATTTACATAATATATCATTACAATAAATAAAAATAATTTACTGTTCAAGACAACATGGAAACTTATTGACCATTGATGCTGAATGAATTATAATTTTGATGAAATGAAACTTGCTATTTATTTTGTGCCATATAATACTAAGCATTATGTAATTGCGCCATCTTGTACCTATACAACAATTTTAATTTGCGCCATTATTTACCTTATTAAAATTAAACAATTAACAATTATTTTTTAACAGATTAATATAGGTATTATATTTTTAATTAATAATTAAATTAAAAGATTAATCAACTTAATTTTTATAGTTATATTCTGGAAAATTATTAAAATATACCTACATAAATCAGGTAATATTTCGGTTAGTAATAATACATATAAAAATCAGTAATATTATAATTTCCTTTATCCAATGAATATTGTTTTCATGTTATTCATGTATTACATATTTACATGCCAAAACTAATACATTTTATATAATACATATAGGTAGTACCTACTAATAGTAATAGGTACTTTAGTACTTAGCTTACTCACCTTTTTTTTATACTTGTAACTTAAATACGAGACTAAGTTTTTTCTATCAATTCACTTTTGCCAGTAGTCTTTATATATATTTATTGAAATTTATCAGATGGTAAATTAAAACAATTGAAGTTGAAAGTGTAACGCAGATTAAATATTATTCCAATTGGTTTTTTTTTTCGTGGCGCAAATTACCAAAATTAATTTTTAGATGTGGCGCAGTATACAAATGTAGCTATAGGTGGCCCAAATTACAAGTAATAAAATTGGTGCAAAATACCATATCCCAAGTGAATTAAATACGAAAATTGAAAATCCCATTCTTCCTGAATAATGTTATGTTTTTAATTTTAACTATTTAAATTAATTTAGTTCAAACGTTAAAAAAAATTAACTGCTATAAAATATAGTAAATGGTTAATGCTACTATATTTCCAAACAAAAAGAAACGATTACACGTGATGTATTATAGGAATTACTTATCAAAAATATTTTCCATTACATTTTCGTTACTTGGAAATAGTCGAAACAATAGTTACTTATATTAATATCCAACACTGTCTGCATGACCATAACAAATATAAACGTGACATTTCTCACATTTTGGAATTAAAGATAAGTATTATTTTTTAATATTTATTTTGATTCTAAGTATTACATCCCAACTGAGGTCGATATATACATCAACGCAGGAATGAAATACTGATGTACTTGGTTATGATGAGTGTTTATTTAAGTACAAAATTACAATGTATATAAGCTATGGTGGAGATGTGAGAAGTGTTACGACCTGACTCCAAATGTTTTGAGTATCCCTAACCGTCTGCCCAAGGGCGTCTCTGGCCCTGTTTTCAGGGGGGGGCGACTTTTACACAATTTAAAAAAAAAAAAACAATAATAAAGGCATAATCAATTTATTAAATTCTAATTTATAAGTCAACATAGTAATTAGTAACTTATTGCTGGTCAAGTCATTTTGATCTGCAAATTTCATACATACAAATTATTTATAGGTAAAAAAAGATACGAATATGTAACCTTTAGTTAATAATCATAATAATAATAAAAATCTAATTATAATATTTTAATTAAGCACCAAGTAATTATTTATTTTTATTCTATAAAACAAATTCTTTAAAGCGTTTGTGTTCTGCAAACCGATCTATTATTTTCCATGCATCTAATTCTATATCGCGATGTACATGCAACAGTGCCAAACCAGTAAATCTTTCCTGTCCAATTTGACTTCTTAACCAAGTTTTTAATCTAATAAGCATTAAATCATATAACGTTCGGTACTTAATAAATTATCTACTCGTTTGTCGGGACAGAGATGTGTTCGTACAAAATCTTCAGAACGTAAGATAGCATTTTTGTGATAATCATTGTTACTATGAGTTTCCAAATCACCATGTTTGCCTAGTAATTTAGCATATTTCTTTAAAGGAACTGTAACTAATTTTTTTAATTGTTCAGTATTTTGTTTTCCACCAGTATTTTGAACCAAGAACAATGTACAGTATAAACAAAAACAACCAGATAATGACTCCGAATAAACAAGCCATGGATATTGTTCAAAATGGTTATACCTCAAAAATCGTTTTTCTTCCTTTTCCTGTTTTTTATGAACTGAAAACGGATATTTAAAGCAAGGGGGTGGTTTCCATTTATTTTCCAAAAGTTTTATTTTAACAGTATCTTCAATAACACGTGATGAATTAATATAAAGACCGATATCATTACTAATAACTAATGAGGAAATATCATTTTCTACCTCGATATTACTATTATTACTAGTAGTTACTTTATTATAAGTTGTTGTTGACGCTGGTATTACCTCGGATATTACAACAGAGGCTCGGGGGGGGGGGCGATCGCCCCATCCCCCCCCAAAAAAATACGCCCTTGCGGTCTGCCGAGCTCTTGTCCCGGGCTGGTATTTATATGATCGAGTCCTTTGGAGTGGGTGGTTGTATCAATGGCCAAATTCGGTCATGAGACTGCGTCCGGGTCTCGTACTTGGTATGCTGGTCGACTCGTATCCTTCGTATGAGTGTTTGACTTTCCTAGAGAGATACTTTTACAGTGTCCCTAGCGTGTTATAATATACTAATTGCCTTATTAATTATATCGTCGAGTACTATTAGAAACGTGCGCTACGTTGTACATTGTTATTACTTAATTACTAAATACGTAGGTACGTAACATAAGTATACCTATTCTTCACTTATTAGTTATCAGTACCAGACATCAGTTGACAATCGATACCCTGCAGTTTAGTAAGGTATTTAGTATACGACATAGACGATTTGGAAGTAGCCATTTAGACTTGGAGAAAATTGTAAGTAAAATAAAAAAAAAAATCAATAAATAAAAATATAAATACGTTAAAAAAAAATTAACAACTATAAAATATAGTAAATACTACTATATTTCCAAACAAAAAGAAACGATTATACGTTATGTAATATTATATCACACCACAAACACTTCGTTATAACTCCGTGTAAAAATAAAGCTAAGTTAAAAAAAAAAAATTAGTCATGATTAAATAAAAGACGTGATATAATATGGAAATTAAGTAAAATTACATTTTATAATATTACAAATACCTATGATGACAAATAAGTTCAATTGTAATGTTAAATACTTAGTCAACATATTGTTGATACATTATTAAATACTGAAAATACTGTAGTGATTACTTAATTGTATTTATTTAAGTATACTTCTGCGTCCTGCAAAATAGTTAAACATAATAATATGTTGACTAAGTATTTAACATTACAATTGATCTTATTTGTCATCATAGGTATTCGTAATATTATAAAATGTAATTTTACTTAATTTCCATATTATATCAAGTCTTTTATTTAATCATGACTAAATTTTTTTTTTTTTAACTTAACTTTTTTTTACACGGAGTTATAACGAAGTGTTTTTTGTGTGATATCAGCTATTTTTTTTATGAAATAAGTCAATAAAAGACTATAATATACGTTTGTGTCATTATTTATGTTAACAATACACAACAATAAGTATTATTTTTTAATTTTTATTAAGTATACCTATTCTTCACTTATTAGTTATCAGTAGCAGTCCTCAGTCGACAATTGATAAACTGCAGTTTAGTAAGGTGTTTAGTATACGACATAGACGATTTGGAAGTAGCCATTTGGACTTGGAAAAAATTGTACGTAAAATAAAAATAATAAATCAATCAATAAAAATATAAGTAGTAAAAACAATAGTTAGACATACAGTTATTTAGATATATTATTTATATTTATTATATATTCATCAAAAATTAAAATACAATTATATCATAAACAGTAGTTGTTCCTCATAATATTTATATTTACTTTAATGGAACAATAACAATATTATATAACAATAACAATATTTAATCAAAATATTATGATTCATAATATTAATGAAGTGAAACATTTTAGGTGATTCCATGTAAAATTATAAAATTCGGTAATAGGTAATATTCAGTAATAAACTATGCTAGATATTAGATACGATACGATACGATACGATACCATTATTGTTGTATTATGAACAATTTTATTGGTTTTATAGTTTATATATAAACCAGACCTACAATATATTTCTTACGTATAATCACCATAAATATTTAATTTAATTTCAATTAATATTAAATTATTAATTTTTTTTAATTTTATAATATTTTTAGATTCTGAGTGAAACGATGAATGTATTGATTTTACAATGATGTGTGTTTTTTTTTTTATTTTTTTATTTTTTATTTTTTTATTTTTTTATTTTTTTATTTTTGTGTCTGTGTA